AAAATACTTTTAATAGAAAACTGGTTCAGAAATAGATATTGTAAGTCAGAAAGAACTTAACAATCATGTAAACTATTGGCATAAATTGTTGCGAAATATAGTAGATGTAACTATAACGCTTGCTATAAATAATTTACTTTTCCGAGCCCATAGGATTATGGACAATACGAAGCCTAAAGATGTCGGAACTTTACAAAGAAGTTTTCAACAAATTATAAAATTACTTTTAAACTATGACGTTATATTAACCAGTTTTTTAATGAAATCCAAAAGCTGTACTAAATACATGGATCCGTACATTCAAAACGAACTAATTAATTCAGTTGCTGAGGAAATTAATGTCCATATACAAAGGGAATTAGAAAAGGCTGCTTTTATAACAATAGATACAACGCAAGCCCTATCAAAATTGCAAAACCAATAGAGTTGCAAATAAAGCAAACTTTTTGTGGATTTACTCGGGTTATTGATCAAACATCACAAGGATTAGAAACAATAGTCTTGAAAGTTATAGAAAATATCCTGGCCTATCAAAAGTACGTGGTCAAGGTTACGACGGGGCTGCACATATGAGTAGTAGCTATTTAGGGTTGCAAGCAAGAATTAGACAATGAAACTCCGCTACCAGATTTGTGCACTGCTGCTCCCATAATCTAAGTTTGGTGATCAACGAGAGTGCAACCAATGTACAGTAAATAGGGCAATTTTATGAACGGTTGCAAAAAGTTTACTTTTTTTTTTTCAGTTCTGTTAGATGTTGAACGATGTTAATGGAAACGAATCAAACTAACTTAGCAAAAACATTAAAAAAAGTTTGTCTGACATAATGGTTGTCCCGCACTAAAGGTTCTTGATGCCCAACGATCTCGTCTTTTTGATGTCATTAAAATACTGACATATTTTTTTTTAAATGGAAAAAATCATGATGAGCAACGTGAAGCTAAAAATTTTGGTAATTTTTTGAACAATTTTCAACAGTTATTTCAATAATAGTACAAAGTATATTACTAGAACCCCTAAATATAGTCTCGAAAATGATGCAAGATCCTTGTGAAGGTATAGAGAAATCCGTTGAGATGCTTTCATCACTCCAAAACCAATTCCGGACTTTAAGGAATAACTGGGAGTTTGTTAAAAGCGATTCTGTTGCGTTATCAGCTATGTGGAATATTGAATCATCTTTTCCTCAAAAAAGATAATTCAATTTAAAAGTTCTTTGTTGAATTACAAATAGATGAGCCCATTGAAAAAAGTGAATAACGTTTCAAAGTCGAGGTGTATTATAAAGTAATGGACATAATTATTAATCAATTATGTACATTTATAAAAAAATATACAATTATGTACCTTTATTCGCCTACAGATATTGTGGCGTCATCTGATTAAGATATTCTTGAAGAATCGGAGGTGTTACAATTGGAATACCTCCCCAATATTTCACCTAGTTTTGGGTCTCAACTGCTTTGATGTAAAGTTTGTTTCTATGATCAATTGAAAGAATTTCTCGATTTACTCGATGAATGTCATCGATGGACAACACTATTCTTCTTATTCTGTAACTTCAGGTGTTCCTCAAGGTTCTATCTTTGGCCCTATACTCTTTTTAATTTACATCAACAATCTTCCAGATATTCTCACATCAAAGGTGGCATTGTTTGCTGATGATACTACCATTTATTCTTGTCGTAATAAGAAACCAACACCCTCTGATTGCTTGGAGGGGGCATTTGAGCTTGAAAAGGATCTCACTTCTGCTACAGCATGGGGTTCACAGTAGCTGGTGAACTTCAATACAGATAAAACTCAATTTTTTCAGCCAATCGTTATCGCAATAATTTATATCTTCCTATATTTATGAACAGTAATGTACTCAATGAGTCATCCATTCTTCATCTTCTAGGATTAACTCTTACTTCCGATCTTTCTTGGAAACCATATGTTAAATCAGTTGCAAAATTAGCACCTGCTAAGGTTGCATCTCTTTATCGAGCTCGTCACTTTCTTACTTTAAATTCTATTCTCTATAAATCTCAAATCCGGCCTTGTATGGAATACTGTTGCCATATCTGGGGCGGATCTTCTAATGATGCCATTTCTCTTCTAGACAAGGTGCAAAAACGCATTGTAAACATAGTTGGACCTGCTCTTGCAGCCAACCTTCAACCATTATTACATCGTCGTAATGTTGCTTCTCTTAATCTATTCTACAAATACTATAATGGGCATGGCTATAAAGAGCTAGCGTCTCTTGTGCCATCTACTAAAATTCATTTTCGTGTTACTCGTCATTCAATTAAGTCTCATCCTTTTTTTGTGACTGTTCCTAAGTGCTCCAAAAACGCTTATTCATCTAGTTTTTTTCCTTGGACATCAGCTCTTTGGAATTCGCTTCCTTCATCTTGTTTTCCTGATTCATATAATTTGCAATCCTTTAATAAAGTCCGTCAATCGTTATCTTGCTCTACAATTTTCATCTTTTCTCTTTCTGTTGCTTCCAACTTTAATTAGTGGCTGCTTGCAGCCTTGTTGGAAGCGAAGATGTTTAAAAAGAAAAATGAAAGTATTTGCTTCTATGAACCAAATTGTTGAACTACTTGAAAAACTTCGTTCTGCTGCAGCAGAACGAAGTTTTTCAAAACTGAACTTAACATAAACATATTTAAGAAGCAGCATATCACAACACCGTCTAAGGTCTGTGGCCACTATATCGATTGAGAAAGCAATAGCTTGTCAACTTGATTTGGATAAAGTTGATCAATTTGTAAAGGAAAATGAAAGAAAAAAACAATTTTAAACTATGTGCTAGAAATAAGAAATGTCAATAAGTTTTAAATAAATTTTAATTTTAAATAAATTGTTATTTCTATAAAAATATATTTTGGACAATAAAATATATCTTTTTTTGTCCAAATTAAAAAAATGTAAACATATACAGAAACACCAATAAGATGATTAAACGCATGGCTTTTTAAAAATCAGAATTGCAAACCTAAATCTTTTCTTTATTTCTATTGGATTATTAACATCAGGATTGCCATCTAAACCCATTTTGGTATCTTCAAATTGGACATTAGGAACATATGAGGTTTTTCTATTCCATATTGCATATAACGCCTATGATTTAAACACAATTTTTTTTTACTTTTTTTCAAATATCTTCGAGGAAAGTGGGGGCGCACTAATTTTACTTGCACGTAGCGCTAAATATGTAGCTATGCCACTGGTTTTACTTCTTTTGTAAATAATGTTTATTAAATTGTGAAATAGTTAGTCAGTATAAACATTTAATATTGAAGAAATAATTATTTTTATAATGATTTAGTTTTTAACGTTTTAAATAAATTTAGGTAAATCGAATTTAGAACGAACATTTAACTTTCGAACGTAAAAAGATATTTGGTTGTAAAATTCACGATTATTACATTTGATAATTAAAATAAAGGAATACGTTTCTTTAAAATCAATTCAAAGGTGACGAAATAAAATAGCAACTATAATTTTAACTTTTAGTAAAAGTCCTTAAAAACTATTTGGATTTAATTTATTCTTAACAAAGGCAGATACTCCATTAAACTTAATGGAGCATTTGTCAAACTAGTTTTTTAAACAATAATAACAAAAAAAAAGTCTTAAAAAATATATTTTTTTAATTTTGTTTAAAGATATTTTTAATCTTGTTTAAACATATTCGAATAAATTACTATTTAATATTAAAATTAATGGAAATAATAACTTAACTTTTAAATTATTTATTGACTTACAAAAGCATTTGAAACAATTCGGAGTGATACATAAAATTTATGATCGGATAAAAAGCGACCTCACCGAAAAAAAACAATTTGTTATTAATATGCAGAGTTGTTAACAAGACGAAAAATAGCAAGGCCAAGGTTACGGCAACATGTTCCAAGACCAAGGCCAAAAGTTTCAAATCTGTAAAAAAATCGACGTTTTTTTTACTGCCTTGAAACTTTTGTCTTTGACCTTGACCTTTTGTCCGTTTGTCTTTGACCTATTTGAAGATAATATGAAAGCTAAAAAATAAAATATAAATACATAATATAAAATATATAAAATTTTTAATTAATTATAAATTCTTTATTTTTATGTACTTATAATTCTTATGTACTAATAATTCTATGTACATATAATTCTATTTTTATGTACTTATAATTCTTTATTTTTATGTATTTATAATTAATTAGGAATCAATTCTTTATTTTTATATACCCCCACTTTTTTCGAAAGAACCTTTTTTTTTTTTTAAGAAAATTCTAGATATACAAGACTTTTTTTTAAAATTAACAATTGTGCCTCCCCCCCCCATCCACTTCGAAACCCGTGTCATTGGCCCTGCATGTGTTTAAATCTTTTTTAAATTTTAAAATGTTTCAACTAATAAAAAATGTTAAAACAAATCCCGTTAACCAATCATGTCATTGATTGTTGTTTTAAAATGGTTAGTCAAAAATGGCAACTTAAACCGTGACATTAAACACAAAATTGAGTTCTAATGCTTTAAAGTAAACAAAAATAATTCTTTTAAAAAAAAATCGACTGCAATACACTTTTTAAAAGAAAAACACATAAGAAAGTTCTGAAATTATTAAGAAAAGGTGGAAGGCCTAGGCCAAAATGTTCAAGGCCTAGGCCAAAATGTTCAAGACCAAGGCCAAGGTTAACAGTTTCAAGGCCGAGACCAAGGCCAACGCCTTAATTTATGACGGTTGCCCCCCACCACACACACACACGCCAGAATCTGAAAGCCCTAAAAAATCTTAGAAATGAAGACCTTTTTTTTTTTTTAGGAGACACAAATGTCATACATAATATAAAAATTTAACCTAAAAATCCGTTCCATTTTTTTTTGGAAAAAAATGCATAAAACACATTTATTTTGGCTTCATTTAAAGATACCATTTTTGTGTAATACGTGAGCATGCTCATTTTCATCACGGTTTAAGTTGCCATTTTTGATTTGGTAGCCTTCTAATCAGTGCCGTGGCGTGGTACATTTGGGCCCCCCCCAAATCATTTTTTTGGGCCCTAATTTTGTGGCATCACATTACAGGATATATATGTGTCACATTTTTTCTAAAGGCTAAAAACATCAAAAATAAGACATATAAGTATAGACAAACGTATATGTACGGATAATTATCAGAATAATGTTTGTTATATTATATTGGTAATACTTCAAAACCTGTAATAAATCACATATTCACAATTGTCACAGAAATGACTTGTGGCGAACTTTCATACTTGCAAATTTGTTGATTATCTCCTCATAATTTAATTTTCTTGCCACATCGTTCTCAATTGACAGCATCGCCAGAGAAGACAAGCGGTCATCAACCATTGTTGACCTATAAAAAGTGAAAAGAAATGCATAGAGCTACATCTATTATGTATAAAGTAGCAAGATTAAATATACTGACCTATGAAAAGTCTTAATCAATTTTAGCTTGCTGAAGCTACGTTCAGCACTTCATATTTAGTTCATATATAGCCATGACCGTACAATAGTTTCTCCATTCTTCATCTGTCGTTTATAATAAGTCACTGAAAATCGTCGTCTTTCTTGATTGTGTGGAAAATCTATCTCAATTTGCTTTACATCACGTTCAACAATGTCACACCTCTGTGCATCAGAAACATTTTCTGGCCAATCAGAAGGATCATCACTGAGAAAAAGAAGTGGCAGTGTTGTGGCAGTTGGTATACACTCACAGATTGCCATATTAGAGTCTCCTTCAGCAGACAAACCAAAACAAGAAACAGAATCATTTTCTGCATTGGCTGTAACATCATTATTGGTTTCTGTTATTGCTACTGATTCACCATCAGCTTGAACTGCTGGTTTCAAAAATTGTGTAAGTTTGGGGTACTTAGTTATTACTTCCCTGGCTGCAGCTGCTTCTCTTCTCTTAGCTGCACCACTTTTCACTTTCTTCATTCCAATAATTAATACCTAAAAATAGAACAGATAGTTTATAAAATTTACTTTTAGGTCCTACTATAGTACTATACCTATTTAATTTATACAAATAAATTAAATGAAAAATAATAATGTCTCCTATAAATAATAAACTTACCGGCTCAGCTGATTCAGCCACGCTCACTACGAATTTTGAATAATGACGATTGCGTTTCGGTTTAACCAACTACACACACATCATACAGTCAAATGAAGCAACTGACACGCAGAAATCAATATTTCAAATCGTATTTCAACTCACAATTTTTTATTACTATTCTAGAAAGTTATTAAAAAAATTAAAGAAAATACTTTTTAAAATATTATAAAATTTTAAAATGTTGTATTGCTGACGGCCCACCGGGAAATATCCCGGTGTGAAAACTCCATGTGAAATAGGAAAACTCATCTTTAAATAAACTGTTCATTATAATATAAATTTGTCAATCTAGTTTGTTTTATTTACATAATTTTTTGCATGCTATTTATGATATCATAATTTGTATTATAATTTTTATTGGTTTGTAACAATTCTATTTGTCGGTTAATATTTCTCTGTAATGTCTTCAAATTTTGATTTTATATTTATATCCAGAGTTTTAAATTGTTATTTAATCTTTTGAAAATGTAGTATGTTAACTACGAAACATGTCAAGATTAAAAAATTCCGTGTTTTTCATAAAAGTATGAGTAAAAATTTTAGAGTTAAGCTACTATATAGATACAGAAACTAAACAAGGATGTCCATTCTCATCAGTTGTTTTTTTTCACATTAAAATTGTCTTAGTAGCATTTATTTTATTTTATAGTTTGAATATAATTGATAATTATCTGTTAAAATAATAAAATGCCATAAAAAATTTTATCATTTTTTAAAAAACGGGCCCCTTATATCTCGTGGGCCCCCCCCAGATGGGGGGTTTGGGGGGCCTTTGCCACGGCACTGCTTCTAATTAATATAATCAAAATCCTTCAAACTGAAATTTAAAGACGCAGTTAAAATTTTAAAAATCGAAAGACATTTTGGAATTCAATATAAACTAAAAAACAACTTCTTGGAAATAGTTGGAATTAAAATATAATTGAGTAAAAGCAGGTAGAATAAAATGGAGGATAGAATGAAATAGTTATGACAATGTTTATTTATTTGCATTTAATTATTTATTGAATTAATTACAAATACTTTTTGATATTTTGTAGAAAATCATTTTCTGAAATGATATATAATTTGAATACAGGCAAAATAATATTTTTTTAAAGAGTTAAATTTTTGGAAGCTTAGTAGGGTATATGAGGTATAATAGGTAATTAGGTTGTTTTTTTTTTTTTGTTTTTTTTTTTTTTTGCAATAAGCTTTCAAGAAGAGCAGACGCGTTTTTATCTGTTTAAAAAAAAAACTGTCTTAAAAACTTTTTAAAAAAATATAAAAATAAAAAACTTATTGTTCGTTAAAACATTATAACAACTGGCAGTTACACTTGCATTAAAAAAATGCTACTGGAAATGTTATTGGAATTTAGAAAAGAAACGGAGGCAATGCTGAAACAACAAGAAAAAACATTTGTCGAAATTTTAAGTGCAAACACGAAAATCATCAATGAGCAGCTTGATAAAGTTGAAAAAATTTTTAAAGAAAATGCTAACCAAATCAAAACTTTGGTAAAAGATATTGAAAACTTAAAACTATCTTTAAATTTTTAAGAACTTTTCGATAAAAAAAAATAGCTTAAGTCTACGAAGAAAACAACGAACGCTTTGAAAAGGAAAACATTCTAGCGGAAAATAGAAACGAAAATAACAGAAAAATCGAAGATTCAAAGAAAAACCAAAGAATCGAAGGTTACGAAAAAAAGATCTGCAAATTGATGGAATACGAGAAAGTGCAAAAGAAACTTGGATTGAAACCGAAGAGTAAGTTCAATCATTTTTATCTAAAAAATTAGGACTGAATGGAGTTGAAATCAAGCAAGCTCATCGGACCGGATTGAGAAAGGGATGGACGTCCATGAACAGTTTTAATTAATTTACTTAGACACAAAGATAAAGCCAAAATCTTTCAAGAATTGCACAAATTAAAAAGAACAAACGTGTATACAAACGCAGATTTTTTGCTCGATACCGTAATTATTAGGAAGAGATTGCTGACTGAAGTCAAAAAAGATGTCAAAAAGGTGACAATATTGCCATCACGACAAAATCATTAATCTAAAATATGCTTTCATTAAAAATAACGAAAACTTATTAGTAAAACTAAAAAAAAATAAAATAGGATTAACCTCATAAAGAGCTGTAGGAAAATAATTTTTAACATTTAACATGGCAGAAACCAATATATCAAACATTTTAAATGTCTCGCGGAGATAATATACTTTTAACAAATGACATTGATCCTGATGTAAACATTTTTGAAAAACTTTCAATTGAAACTAATTATTTTAGAGTCAGTGAGGCTTCTAGCTTTCTTAATTCTTCATAATCTTCTTTTTCGCTGTTAAACCTAAATATCCAGAGTATAAATAAAAATTTTGATAATTTGAAAATAATATTAGAAAAATTAAACCATAAATTTAGTGTAATATGCCTAACAGAAACCTGTTTTCAAAATGGAGATGATTCAAACTCAAATTTTTATTTATCGGGTTATAAATCAATTCATCAAGCAAGGAAAAAGGGCATCGGTGGAGGAGTGAGTATTTTTGTTAAAGATTCATCTATTTTCAAAAAGATAGAAAACCTTAGCATAAATAATGCAAATTGCAAGTCGTTAACTATTGAAATAATCAATCCAAAAGCTAAAAATTCTTTCATTAATGCTCTATACAAACCACCCAATGCCAATTTCGAACTATTTCAAAAACATCTGGAGCGCATTTTACTTGACACAAGTAAAAACATTTACTTAACATGTGACTTTAACATAAATCTTTTAAATACAAATTCCTATTCCAACGTCAGGCGCTTTGTAAATACACTTCTTCAGCACAGTGTTATATCACGAATAAATGAACCGACGCGTGTAACTCCTTTAACTTCTTCAATCATTGACAATATTATAACTAATAACTATATGATTTGTGAAATCAAAAGTGGTATCGTAAATCCAATGATGCGAATAATGCTTATGATCTTTTTATACACTTTTTTTTAAAACAATATGAAAAAGCTTTACCAGAGACCAAGAAAACAATTCATTCAAAAAACCTGCGTAACCCTTGGATGACAAAAAGGCTTAAAAAATCATCAAAAAAAAAAAAACAAAGGCTCTACAATAATTTTTTAAAGAATAAAACTTTAAAAAATGAAACTAAATACAAAAATTCTTTTAAAAAGTTAAAAAAACAAATTAAAAAAAAACTATTACTCCAATCTGCTCAAAAATTTAACAGAAAATGGTAGAAAAAAATGGGATATAATAAAAGAAGTAACTGGAAAAAAGACATAACACTGTTAAACATAAACACTGTTTTTCAAGCGTTTACAAACAAAAATGAACACAGATGTTTTTGACAGAGATAAAATTGCTGATATGCTTTTTAAATTCTTTATAAACGTTGTTAAAAATTTGCCCGAAAAAATAATTCCGGGAAGCAAAACGTTTGAGACCTTTTTAAAAAAAACACACTCAGTTATGAATGAGTTTGAAATATCCTCGGATGAACTTCGAACAGCTTTAAATTTACTAAAAACCAACAAAAGTCCAGGCATCGACGGAATCAATGCAATTGTTTTGAAATCAGTATTTGATATTATCGAATTGCCTCTTTTAATAAATTTCAATTTATCCTTTAAAACTTGCGTTTTTCCTGACCAATTAAAATTAGCAAGAGTAGTCCCTATTTATAATAATGGCAATGACTCTTTAGCATCCAACTATAAGCCTATATCAATTCTTTCTTGCTTTTCAAAACTTCTTGAACGTATCATGCATAATAGATTATATAAATATCTTGGAATATATATTATTTTGTATAGCAAACAGTTTGGTTTTCGCAAGAGCCATTCAACATATCATGCAATAATTGAATTAGTTAATAAAATTTTGAATGGTTTTGAAAATAATGAATATACTCTAGCCTTGTTTATTAATTTAACCAAAGCATTCGATACAGTTGACCACAAGATCCTCCTACACAAGCTAGAGATATATGGAGTAACAAACAACAATCTAAAATGGTTCAGATGTTACTTAAATAATAGAAAATGAGGAGTGTCGTACAACTCAACATGTACACGATTACAAACAATTAGTTGTGGTGTACCCCAAGGCTCAATTCCTGGACCTTTACTATTTTTACTCTGTGTGAACAATATCTACTTTACTTCAAACATTCTAGACTTTACTCTTTTTGCTGATGGTACGAATATTTCCTTTACTCACTCAAATATAAAAACAATATTTTCTACAGTTAATCAAGAGCTGCAAAACTTAAACGAGTGGTTCATTGCTAATAAACTTTCCTTAAACATCCTCAAAACCAAATATGTTTTATTTTACAAACCATCCAACTCTGTTAATTTACCACTTCAACTTCCCAAGCTTATGATCAACAACATTAATATAGAAAGAGACTATTCTATGAAAATCCTCGGAATAATTTTTCAAAAAAATCCTAATTGGAAGAATCATATTTTGCACATCGAAAACAAAGTCTCCAAGTCAATTGGCATCATGCATAAAATAAAACACCTTCTAAATAAAACTTGCTTAAAAAATATATATTATCAGTTTATACACAGTTATATCAACTATTGCATTATCGTTTTGGCAAGCACACACTCTTCAGTACTAAAGAAAATATACGTTAAACAAAAGCAAGCGTGTCGAATAGTGTGCAATGCTAATAGATATACCCACGCTAAACCATTATTCAGGGAAATCGGAGCTCTAAATATTTATAAACTGAACCTCCTCCAAAATTTATTATTTATGTTTCAATCGCAAAACAACTTGCTACCAAAATACTTTGAAAGTCAATTTTCCACCATTGATCACAAATACCCAACGAAGTACTCTTTTCAAAACTTTAAAATTCCGAAAACTTTACTCAAAATAACTGACTTCTCTATCTCATCTCGAGGACCGCGGCTATGGAATTCGATCCTTAAAGAGGAAATAAAAAAAAAGTCTCTTTACAGCAGCAGTCAAACAGCACCTATTTAACTTAAATGACGTTAACATACTCTCATCATCTTGAAGAGGTTATTTAACTTTTTGGCAGGAATAAAAATTTGATCACTTTACTATGCTTTCTTTAGATTTTAATATTATGGAACTTTCAAAGTTGTTGTTTTGCTAATAAATTTCAGCAGATCACAAATTAACGTTATTATTTATACACAAGTAAAGTTTGGTCAAATTTGAATTGCTGCTGATTTCTTTATTGTTAATAATTCTTAAATAACCAAAATTACACAGTTACAGAACTTAATCGATTTTGC